GGTCATCGAACACCTAAACCCCCACTGCAATGATATAGAAAGGGAGAAACTGATCTTCATAAATCTGAATTCAAATCTTTTTCTGTGGATACCATGTTGCAGAACATAGTTGTAGAGGAGAAATAGGCATAGAAGTACCTCACAGTAAAGTGAAGCATACGAGCTTATAGTAGCAGAAATCTCCAGCAAATTAACCAATATAGCAACAAATGACTAAAAATCAGCGAAGAGACTCTGCAAAATGAGCAGCAGGGGGAAATACAGAGCTGCAGTGAGCGTGGCTCACCTCCTCCCACACACCTCTGAATTCTCAGTTGGAGCCCAGCAGCTCAGCCCAGGTACATTCCCTAGAAACTATGAGGCCTTTGTAATATCCAGTTCCATTGACAAAAGTGCAGGTTGGTTGGTGAGGATCACTTACAATAGAGGAAATCAAAACCTCCCTTGAAATTATTAAAAGCACATTACATCATGCAGAAGATGGAATCTCAGACATGGAAGGCAGAACCTCTGATCTAGAAAAATTTACCAAAACGACAGAAAATAATCCCCCCCAAAATGAGAATAATATACAAGTAATACTAGATACCATTAGATGCTCTAACATCCAGACAATCAGTATCCCAGAAGGTGAAGAAACAAATAAGGGCATTTATAATCTATCCCATGAAATTCTGGAAGAACAATTTCCAAACCTAGAGAGAAGCACTCAAATATCTAGACCTAAGAAATACAAAGAATTCCACATAGAATCAACCCAAGAAGATCTCCAAGGCACATCATAGCCAGATTGACCAAAACCACAGACAGAGACAAGATACTAAAATTGGCGAGAGGAAAACGTCAAGTTCTTTTCAAAGGATGTCCCATCACGGTAACTAACATTGGACCTTTTGTTGGAAACAATGCAAGCTAGAAAAGAATGAGAAAATATATTCAAAGTGTTAAGTGTTTAAAAACAAGTTTAACCAAGAATATTATATCCAGCAAGATTATCCTTCATATGAAAAAAAAGCCCTAAACATTCTCAGATAAACAAAACCTGAAATAATTTACTAACACTAAACCAGCTCTTCAAGAAGTTCTGAAGGGAGTGCTATACCAGAAAAACTAAAGACAGACAAACAAAAATGACCAAAAAGGGCTGGCAAGTGGTGTGGTGGTTGGGGTGCTGGACTCCCACATGGCTGAACCTATCAACAACTCAAAAGAAAATTAAAATTCTTAAATCTGGAAGAGAAATCAAATCCAGGATTCTAGTCCTGGACCTGGAGGCTTGCTTTCTCACTTGCCCTCATACTCTCTCTCTGTCCCTCTCTGGCCAAGCTAAAAAATAAATAAATAAATAAATAACGTTGAAAGAAAATAATTCTTAAATAATAAGAAGAAAAAGATTAAAGAAAAGGCCAACCTAATGATAGGGACATGTTTGGAAATATCAATAATAATGTTGAATGTTAGCTTTCTGAATTTAAACAGAAAGATAGATTACTGTAACACTGAAAATTCAACAAAAGATTACATAAGACTAAACTGGTGAAATAGAATTCTATGGATGGCTTTTGTCTAAAACATTACTGATTTTCTTCTTTGATTTCTCTTCCATATTTAAGAATTTTGATTTTCTTTTGAGTTCTTGATAGGTTCAGAAATTTGTTTAAATTTTTATTTTTAATTGAAGAACACTTCTTCCTTTCTGACCACTTTGCAATTGGAAAATATTAGTAAGCATTATTATTATTTTTTTTTCGAGAGGTTTTTGCTATAGGGTGCATGTGCTCGCCAGAAAGACAGAGAGAGACAGAGAGACAGAAAGGAAGAAATCACCCCCAGGGAGGATGGTCATGCCGCAATCCCTTCTCCTCCATTCTCCTCTCGGGATCTTGAGCACGCACACACATGCACCTGGCGTGAGTTTAAGTCACTGGGTCTGGGACTCAAACCACGGTTGACTACGTGGGAGTCCAGCGACATAGCCATTACGCTAACTGCTGGTCCCGTGAGCATTATTTTTTGGCAGAATGGAATTTGCATAAGTTCAATAATACAAATAGTATCTGTCACCTTGCATCAGAAACTGAATTCTTATGGGGCTTTCTGCAAATGATAGACCAAGTTGAGATTAACCTAGTTTTTTCTTGCAAATAATTTGGCTTAGTAAAAGGGGGAGTGGAGAGAGAAAAAAAATGTTTCAGAAGAAAATTACAGTGCACTTGTCACTAGGCTCTAGCTTTGTTCACATTTTTAGTTTAAGATCTTTTGTGAATCAATAGAAAAAATATTTAGTATGGAATGGAGCAAGAGGAAGGGGGAAAGAAAAAACAAGTAAAAGTATGCTTAATTGACAAAAAAAAAATGAGAAAGTATTTACTAATGATTATGTATACAGTAATGTCTTCATCTTGACTGACATGCATGGTATTTGTGCTGGAAAAAGAAATGTACACTGTATATGTGATATAATGTAAATAAATAAATTGAAAAAAATTTCAAAAACAGTAAAAAATAAATAAACCTAGTTGGTTCATCTGATGGAGTAATACATAGGAGGCATAAGAAATAAATTAGACCCATATGTGTGGACAGATTAAAAACATATTTGAGTTAAAAAGCAAAATTTGCAAATTGCAAAATTATATGCACACCATGGTACTACTTGTGCTAAAAAAAAAGTAGCACCAGAAATTGTATATGTTTTATGTGTTTATATATACATGGTTGGCTAAAATGCAGGTAAAGGGAGTTTAATGGGCATATAATTCAAATTTACAAGGTAAAAAGTTCTGGAGATCTGTCTCTCAACAATATGAATACACTTAGGACTGTTAAACTGTACACTCAAAGTGAAAATGAATATACTGGACCATCTTGTCATGAAACACACAAAAAATTGCTCTTTTGGGACCAGCAGTTAGCATAATGGCTATGTCGCTGGACTCCCATGTGGTTGACCGCAGTTAGAGTCTCGGACCTGGTGGCTTAAATTTCATGCCGGGCGCATGTGCATGTGTGCCCAAGATCCTGAGAGGAGAATGGAGGAGAAGGGATGGTGTGTGGCCATCCCCCCTGGGGGGTGATTTCTCGCTTTCTGTCTCTCTGTCTCTTTCTGTCTTTCTGGCGAGCACACATGCCCTATAGTAAAAACTTAAATTGCTCTTTCTTTGAGCCTATGTTTACCTATTATCTAATAGTTTGATATCTGTCTCCATGGAAAGAATATGCTTAGCTTGACAGAGTAAGTTAATTTTTTCACCAAGTATTGGAGGTGCACTATGTTCCAGTCACTGTTCTTCATAAAGGAAATGCAATGATGAACAAAATTGACCACATTTTTGCCCTTTGGGTCTTATACTGCAGAGTAATATGTAGAAGTGCAAACAGTAGTAAATGATATGGGAAAAATAAACCATTAAAGAGAACATAGGAGGCCAGCAAGTGGTGTAGTAGTTATGTTGTTGGACTCTCACATGGCCAACGTAAGTTCAAGTCCTGGACCTGGTGGCTTGAAACTCATACCAGGTGTGTGTGTGTGCCTAAAATCCTAAAAGGAGAATGGAGGAGAAGAGATTACATCATGGCCATCCCTTTTGGGGTTGATTTCTCGCTTTCTTTTTCTTTGTCTCTCTGTCTCTCAGTCAAGCACACGTGACCTATAGTAAAAATCTCTCACCAAAACAAAACAGAGAGAGAGAGAGAGAGAATACAATGTTGTAGAAGTAGCTTGGTCTGAATGGGGAACATTATGAATTACTAGATTGTTAGAGGTTTTGAACCCTACTCTGAGCTACATGGGGAATGGCTGCTGAGTTCTCTTTCTATTTGATTTTGCCATGTGCTGACCTAAGAGTGAGAGAGACTGTGAGAAATCATCTTTCAGGGCGGCTGAGCACACCACCATCCTTTTTCCTCCATTCTCCGTCTTGGACTTTGGGCATATACGCACATGTGGCCTGCGTAACTCTTAAGCCTCCAGGTCCAAGACTCAAACTGCAGTTGGCTTTGTGGGAACCCAGTACCTTAACCGTCATGCTATCTGCTTGTCCCTACTTGGTGAGGTTTAAGCCAAAGAACTTTTATTAGGATTTCTCTGGATGTTGTGTTGCAAATAGAACAAAAGAGAGCAAAGGTGGAAATGTTGGGATTCTTAGCAGGTTATTTCAAACATCTAGAGAAGAGAAGATGGTGCTTTGCAATAGCATGATAACAAGGAAATGGTGAGAAACGTTCAAATTCTAGATGTGTTCTGAATGTAGACTCCACTGAACTTACTCTAAGATAATTGAAAAGAAAAGGGATGTCAGAGATGAGTCCAAGGTTTTTGGCTTAAATTAAAAGACCCAATAATGATTAATCAAGATTGATAAGGCCATACAAGGAGCAGGTTTGGGTGTATAAATACGAACTGTGTTGAAAATGTTAAAGTTGGGTCAGATATTTCTTAACATATGTCTGCTCTGGTTTTTATTTTTATGTATATTAGTAATAGAAAATCTGGCTAATCCTTGTTTTTAGCATGGTTATTGTCCTTGACCATACGATAGTACCACCAGCACAGCACAGATATAATTGCAAATTTATAATACAAAAGAAGAGGAAAGGACTGGTTTTTGAAGTCTCTTGGCAACCAGTCAGTTCATCTGTCTCACTGAGTCACCATATCAAGACCATTGTAGAAGAAATATGTAACTGACATGTGATGTACCTAATCTACCATTTATCTCAAAAGAAAAAGAGCAATAAATGCATGGTATACTGTGAATTTTTTTAAGTTTTCATTTCCCTGATTACTCAACGTTCCTACACAAGGAAGTGAGCACTCTGCTGCAGTGACCAGGTGCACCAGTGTGATAAGACTTGTCCCCACCACAAATTCCCTTATTCCCCTCCCTTGGCTGTAACGTATTCAAATTCAAACGCACCAATGGAATCCTCCCTGTCTTTTGCTTATTCACCCCCAGTAAAGGCACTTGTTCAGGGGACCTCTTTCCTTCTCTCTGCTGCCAGCCTGCATAGTTGATCCTGCTCCTTGGGAGCCCTTCCCGTGTCCCCATGAGTGTCGCTCTGTGCCTTCTGTTTCTAGGACCAGTAAGTATAATATGTCCTTTTATTTGTCTCTCTCAGTGTAATGTCCAGAGCATATTGAAATGATCCTGAAAGATCCTACGGGGGAAACATCCCCATTTAAACAGGCATGGGCGGCACCTTTCAAGGGTACTTTATGTAGTAAAACTTACAAAGGGGGAAGGAGCAAACTGCAAAAGAGGAACTATGTGTCTGGACTTGGGCTGTGGTTGTAACTGTGGTGACTGCTGTTCCCTTATATCCTCCCTGGAGGTTGAAGCATAAAACCAGTCTTAAAGAGTACAGTTGCCTCCAGCCTTGTTTCCACACTCCCTAGTCCACTTAGTTACATTTCATGCTTCCAGGGAAAACAAAAGAAAACAAGCTAAAGCCTCTTTGCCAAGGATGTGCCTTGTAGATTTAAGTGTGGTTAGGTAGTTGACACTGAACATTTTGTTTCCTGGAGTTTTACAATCTGCAGGAGCAGGAGGCAGAAAGGGAAAATGTGAGTTTGGCAAGGAGCTTTTACTCCACATGCATGAAGGTTTACATTAATATAACTTACAGGAAAGAGAGAAAAGCTAGAATATATAGAAATTTTATTTTGATCCTAAAATGAATGACTTTTTATAAAAACCTATTATATTAATATAACATTTTGTACCTAAATTGCAATTACTATTAATGATAAAAAAAATTCAATAGAACTGCCTGCTCAGTGAGACTTGAATATACTCAGTATGTTACTCTGTTTCGTCAATCATAAGATACTGATTTTAGGGACCAGCAGTTAGCATAATGGCTATGTCGCTGGACTCCCATGTAGCCGACCGTGGTTCGCGTCCTGGACCCGGTGGCTTAAACTCACACTGGATGCGTGTGCATGCGTGCCCAAGATCCCAAGAGGATAATGGAGGAGAAGAGATTGCGGAGTGGCCATCCTCCCTGGGGGGTAATTTCTCGCTTCCTCTCTCTCTGTCTGTCTCTGTCTGGTGAGCGCACGCGCCCTATAGCAAAAACCTCTCAAAAAAAAAATAAATAAAAAAGATACTGATTTTTAACACTTTTGAAAACTAATGTGAGGTCAGCCCTATAGCTTAGTGGCTAAGATGAACCAGATCAACTGACTTACCGGGGTTTGAATCCTGCCCCCAGTAAGATTGTAAAAATATTCAGTACATATGTGTGTCTGTCCACAAATCCTGACAGAAATGGAAGCAAAGGAATGATAGTGTGCCATGTCCCAGTGAGTCTTCCCTTCCTCTCTCTACCTTTGTCTCTCTACCTCTCACTGGCCATTGCATGTGCTCCCTAGCAATTAGGAAAAAAGAAAACAAAAGATAAAGAAAAAAAGAAAAAGAAAGAATGAAAGAAAAAAAGGGAAGGAAGAAACCTGATGTGTAATGAAATCAATAATGTCTCACAATGGCAATAAGCCAGGGAGCAATTACCACCTAGGGTCATTATTTAGGCATAGGTAGTCACCGAATGCCAGATCAAAACTTACCAGAAAGGTGGCTGTGGCTTGTAGGAAAGCCCAGAGATAGTCCTGGAGCACTTTCTTTCTTTCTTTCTTTCTTTCTTTCTTTCTTTCTTTCTTTCTTTCTTTCTTTCTTTCTTGTGAGATTTTTGCTATAGGGTGAATGTGCTTACTGTAGAGACAGAGAGAGACAGAAAGCAAGAAGTCACCCCCCAGGGGGATGGTCACACCACAATTCCTTCTCTTCCATTCTCCTCTCAGGATTTTGGGCACATACACACTTGCACCTGGAGTGAGTTTTAAGTTACCAGGTCCGAGACTCGAACCATGGTCGATTACGTGGGAGTTCAGTACATTACGCCATCTGCTGGTACCTATACTGGAGCATTTAAAAATAACTCTTTTGAACCATCGATAAACAAATTCATTTAGACACTGTTTAGTTAAAATTCCTGACGTGATACCTAGAAGTAAGCTAGATCTCCATAAGTGCACATTTCTCCTCAGACCCCATTACTCCAAGATTTTTCTGCACAGGATTTCTTTTAAATGCTGTATCATCACAATTCTTGAGAATGATATCAATGACTGAATTGAAAAATTACTCTGAAAACTTGTGGTCTTATTTTGTAAAATTTATAGGAACAATGCAACCATGCAATTTTTTATTTTACTTTCTCATATTCATGCATAAGAGTGAGAAAAGATATAATGCTATACCTGAAAAAGCTCTTCCAGTACACAAGTATGAAATACAAATCTAAGTGACAAAAAGCATTGAATTAATTTAATTCAAAGCTTCTTTTTTAGAAGTAACAGTGTATTCTAGAGTCAATGGTACCTTGAGGTTGATGAAGTACAGTACATTTTAAAATGTTTTTTTTTTTTTTTTATCAGAAGTTAGATCAAGCTAGCTTTAGAAACTGATATAGGAAACGTATTGGGTAATATCAAGAGATCTAGCTGTGACAATAATTTGCTGGAATACATTTGGTGGCAATACGGTTTTGCTTAATTAGGTCACTAATGCAAAAAGAAGAATAACTGGTTAAGAAATAAGTTATCTGGTAGAAGTAATTGAGTAAATTCATTTAGTGTCCAAAATACGTTCACATAATTTGAAGTGGGAGGGGAGACATATCTAAAAAGCTCATGAAAAAAAAGAAATTAAAATACGAGCTTTTCTTAAAAAGGAATACCCACACATTGTTTCTATTCATGCCCGTTATGCAGGCACTTTTGAAGGCCCTTCATGTACAAAACAATCATCCACAGAGCATATACTGTTTTACTAATCATGTTACCAATATTATGCCAATGAAGAACAAATTAATCGACTTTTTAATTAAATATCTACGAAAGTTCAAATATAGCATTCTCTCTTATAACCGTGATGTTTTCTTCAGGAACCAGTGATAATATGGTCCTTTTTAACAATTTACAAAAACAAATAGGATATATCCATCTGTATCTTTGGTAGAAAGATAAATATAATTACAATTAAATAGAAACTGTGAGCTAAGTGTTGTTTCTTTGTCCACCAATGAAATCACATCTGAATCACTTTTTCTTACAGACTTCTGCCTATGGCCTACTCTTATGGCCACAGTATGCTTCATATTGACATTTTAAGTGATCTCTCTAGTGTGTAGGGGCCTTCTTTCTCTCAAGAGCATAATCTCGGGAACCAGCAGTTAGCGTAATGGCTATGCCGCAGGACTCCACATAGTCGACCGCGGTTCAAGTCCCGGACCCGGTGGCTTAAAAAACTCACGCCGGGCACGTGTGCGTGCGTGCCCAAGATCCCGATAGGAGAATGGAGAAGGGATTGCTGCATGACCATCCCACAGGGGGGGGTGATTTCTCGCTTTCTGTCTCTATGTTTCTCTCTGTCTGTCTGGTGAGCACACGCACCCTATAGTGAAAACCTCTCAAAAAAAAAAAAAAAAAAAACAAAATCTCTCTGAGAGTAAAAACCAATCGACTTTTTAATTAAATATCTACGAAAGTTCAAATATAGCATTCTCTCTTATAACCGTGATGTTTTCTTCAGGAACCAGTGATAATATGGTCCTTTTTAACAATTTACAAAAACAAATAGGATATATCCATCTGTATCTTTGGTAGAAAGATAAATATAATTACAATTAAATAGAAACTGTGAGCTAAGTGTTGTTTCTTTGTCCACCAATGAAATCACATCTGAATCACTTTTTCTTACAGACTTCTGCCTATGGCCTACTCTTATGGCCACAGTATGCTTCATATTGACATTTTAAGTGATCTCTCTAGTGTGTAGGGGCCTTCTTTCTCTCAAGAGCATAATCTCGGGAACCAGCAGTTAGCGTAATGGCTATGCCGCAGGACTCCACATAGTCGACCGCGGTTCAAGTCCCGGACCCGGTGGCTTAAAAAACTCACGCCGGGCACGTGTGCGTGCGTGCCCAAGATCCCGATAGGAGAATGGAGAAGGGATTGCTGCATGACCATCCCACAGGGGGGGGTGATTTCTCGCTTTCTGTCTCTATGTTTCTCTCTGTCTGTCTGGTGAGCACACGCACCCTATAGTGAAAACCTCTCAAAAAAAAAAAAAAAAAAAAAAGAGCATAATCTCTCTGAGAGTAAAACACAAGTCAAGTTTCTTTACTGCTAAAACATTGGCTCCTAAGAAACAGGAGCCAAATAAATATATTTTTTTCTTTTTTTTGGAGAGGTTTTTTTTTTTTTTTTTGCTATAGGGTGCATGCACTCCTCAGACAGAGACCGAAAGGGAGAAATCACCCCCAGGGAGAATGGCCACACCGCAATCCCTTCTCCTCCATTCTCCTCTCGGGATCTTGGGCACGCACACACACGCACCCGGCATGAGTTTTAAGCCACCGGGTCCAGGACACAAACCGCGGTCGACTACATGGGAGTCCAGCAACATAGCCATTATGGTAACTGCTGGTCCCAATATTTCTAAATAAATATTTCTAATAAATATTTTTCCAATAAATATTTCTTTTTTTTTTTTTTTTTGGAGAGATTTTCACTGTAGGGCGCGTGCGCTCGCCAGACAGACAGAGAGAGACATAGAGACAGAAAGCGAGAAATCACCCCCCAGGGGGGATGGCCACGCCGCAATCCCTTCTCCTCCATTCTCCTCTCGGGATCTTGGGCACGCACGCACACGCGCCTGGAGTGAGTTTTAAGCCACCGGGTCCGGGACACGAACCGCGGTCGACTACGTGGGAATCCAGCGACATAGCCGTTACGCTAACTGCTGGTTCCCTCCAATAAATATTTCTAAAATGAATAAATAATTAGGTGTTTAGAAAGAGATTTGAGTAAACATGGCAAGTGTTATATGAATGAAATATCTTGATAAGAATAAGAAAAGTAGGGCATTGATCTTACCCTTTTTTTTCCAAAGCATGTATTTACATGGTATATATACTGATTTGAAGATAATCCCTCTTATCGATGATGTTCAGGAGCAAGGTATTTTTATTCCAAAGGATAAGTCAAGGGTTAAGACAATTAAATTTGATCTTTCCTTTAC